GTAGTGCCCACAATATAAAATCTCATTTTACGAAATCGGACCCGTAGAGGTGGTTAGTTGAATTAGCTAGAGGCCAGTTCTGGATTAGATGAAGCTTGAGTGGGCTAAGCTCCCATCACTGCGAAGTTAACTACCTCGCACCGTACTTGTCTGAGAGGACAAAAACCCTTATTTGAACATCGCTTGGTCTTCTTTATTCTTTTTGTAGACCACACCGTATGACGATATTGGGAGGCAAATGCATGGCGCACCCCGACAAATGATTGACCAACGACGAATGCTCTCACATTTTACTCGGATTATCCATTCTAGACCCTATACGAACGGATTACGTGGTTTCATTATGGCTAGATAATAAGGTCCTATTAATCGTATTAATCGTAAAAGGATAAATTGAGAGGATTAGTTTCTGTTTGAGGCGCCAAAAATCTCCGTGAATTTTTTTCCAATGTTCAAATTTGCAGTGGGATTTCTTAACCACGACGACTAAGTTAATGTAGGCGTTACGCTAATGGGCTAGATTACCTAATTAGCACTGGAGCAACAGGCAGGAATATTCAGAAAAAGTTAAATACACTGACTGACACTCTCACGCACTTATGCCTTCCACTTCCCCATTTGGACTCCAGTCATTCTGGTGATGATTCGAATCGAATCATAACTGTGAGCAAGACAAGTGCGTACTAGCTAAGCCGCCTGACTAAGCTCGACTTGACACGGTTATTCTGACCGTGAGAAAGATTCTGCTTAGTGTCCAGTAATAGTAACTATCAGCACTCAAAGAAATCGCATGACGTACAGTGAGCAATAAGCCTCGATTACACTGAGCTCAATCACCGACGATTGTCTTGACGCCAGCAAGCATCATCTAAGAAATCATAGAACATCCTCAATAAGAAGGTCAGTTCGTTGATGATTGGGCGGCAACATATGTATTATTTCATGGCATAATAAATGATATCTAGGAGAGTAAAACTATACCTGGAACACAAATTTTGGCGCTATCGCAGTATATGGGGGCATCCTCTAAGTCTAAACCAAGGAGGTGGCAAGAGCTTCACAGAAATGAAAATGGCTCATGCACCTTGAAGTCCCTCCATCCCGCTCCAGGCCTAGTCCCGTTTAAAAATACGAGTTTTACGCGGTTTAGATGCATTGCTATCACAATGCCCCCCATATTGCGATAGCGTCCAACTTTTATTTCATTTCATGGCATTTTAAAAAACGATATATAAGACAGTAAAATTCTTCATTTCTTTTTTGTTTTTCAATCATTTCTTCTCCATTTTTGGGTATCCGGTCCACGCTTATGGTTAGCTCATAACTTATGGTTAGCTGCTATATGAAACCAAGCATCTATAACTGCTTATTGCGAACAAATCCGGTTTTCGTTCGACAACTTATATAGGAACAAAGAAAATCGCTGGTATTCATACCTATAGCCTTGTCCAGGCCAACTGCTGAAGTAGATAATGAGACTGAGAGGAGGAACGGCCCAGATGAAGAAGACCACAATCTGGAGTGCAACAGAGTAAGTATTAAAATTGAATAATATGAGTAAGAACGAAGAATAGCCTTATTCAATTACCTGGACGGTCCGAAGTGAAAGAATCTTCTGATGATCGAATGGCCTTCGAATTTGAAGATAATGCGCAAATGCCAGTGCCACCAAGTGAATGATACCTGTCAGGAGACCACCGGTACGGAACGCCTAGAAACCAAAGATTTGCTATAATTACTTGACCTTGCTAAAACATTTACTGCCTGATGATCAGAACACCTTTTAGACCATTCTGCTGTACTCTACCCGGGAATTGCGTGGGTTTTTTTTACGAATATTGTATATTTTTACTAATTTTGCTATATTATCAGTATCAGTATACTCTTAACACCTGGGAACAGAAGACCAGCAAAGTAGAGTTTCTGCTCACATAATGAGCGCTTGATTTTGATCTAGTCGAGATGAAGTTAATACAGGCTACCAAATAGTACGTCAAGGCATAACACTGTTATAGTGATCTCACGCCGTCTATTAGCAAACCTTGACCAAGCCGATTACATTTCAGCAACAACTGATATATTTTTGTAGGTGAGCTCGATTATTTCGGGTTGTTCCGAGCCCTAAAGACACTTATTTCTAGATAATCGAAACTATTTATCCTTGTGTTGATTATCTCTTTGTACACTTTAGCGATCCACTTGCAGTTCGAAAGTCCGCCATCAAAACGGGGCCAGACTTTGCGAATCCGGCGAATTGCTGGGTACTAGCGATGCCCTTATGCCTTGCGAGACTGAAAAAAGGCGAGAGTCAATACTGCTAATGAGAGGAACTTTCGTCACCTTCCCACACTTTCAAATCGCTGCTACATCGGCGGAATCGCTGGCGCATCGCTCGATCGCTGATGCATCGCTTACCCTTCAAGATGCTGCGATTCGCTGGATTTACAAATGCTGACACCGGTCTGAGGGAAGGTTCATTTATTGAGCATCGAAACATCGAAGGGGAATTGCGTTGCTTTCAATAGTACACAAGTTCGACGTTCGATAAATCTTAGCATCGTGTGTGGTATTCTTCTTAGGTTTGCTCTTGAAGAAACAAGCCGAGATGATACAGGAGCTTTATTCGGCTAATGGTTCGGGCAGGTCTCCTTCGCCAGAGCCTTAAGATGTACGATAGGTTTTGCTGATACCATCGCTAGATTCAGACTCGCTTTGCTTTTACCTTTTCATCATTTTAAAAATCCGATTGCTTCTCAATCTGGAACTCTATAAAAATTTTCTTTCCACTTTTGCAGTTTTTTGCGTTTTGCCAGCAAAACACTCGGCCTACGGCGATGTACGGTACACGAGGCGTGTTGAACAATTGAGAGATCTCTATAATCTAGCATTCATTGTAGCAGTGGCTCAAAGATTATGAGATGGTGTTGAGTCTGGCACAAATTACAGCTCCCAGACGCTTTGAGTGCGACCTGGCGGATACACGCCGTACGCCGAGTGTTTTGCTGGCAAACGCAAAAATGGAAAGAAAATGAAGCAGCCCCGATTTTATAGAGTTCCAAATTGAGAAGCAATCGGATTTTTAAAATGATTAAAAGGTAAAAGCAAAGCGAGTCTGAATCTAGCGATGGTATAAGCAAAACCCTACCGTACATCTTAAGACTCTGGCGAAGGAGAG